TCATGAACAGTCGATGAACTTGTTCCCTAAACTCAGAACACTGGAATAGAGCACTAGCCTGTTTGTTTTTTTTTTTTTTAAAGAGATTTATTTGTATGTGTATCTGGGTATGTAGGCCACATATGTGTGGGTAACCACGGAGGCCAGAGAGGGTGTTGAATTCCCTGGAGCTGGAGTTACAGGTACCTGTGCGCTGCCAGCTGTGGCTATTGGGAACTGAATTCAGGTCCTCTGGAAGAGGGGAAAGTGTTCTTAACCACTGAGCCATTTCTCCAGCCCTGTATATAAGATTCTTAAGATATATATTTAAAACAAATACATGACAGACCTTCCTCAGGCCAGCATCTTTCCTGAACAAACATCCCAGTCATCACTCATCAAAGAAGCTCATTTTGCAGCAGACAGAGACTAATACCAAGTACCACAACTGGTCATACACAGACATTGTCTACAAATTTCCAAGGCCTAAGGGACACATCTGCAATGCAACCTCTACACCTAGGGCTCATGGAATGTAGAACAGGGATAAAGAAGAGGACACTAAGGAATCGGTTCTCAGTAATGAAGCTCCCTCATGTAGCAGAGGGCAAGGAACACAAAAGGTCACAAATGGCCAAAGTGTAGAGATCAAGAGTCTGCTAAATAATGGTCCTTGGACAGGACCTATTTATTAAACTTCATCCACCCAAGGCCAGGGACCATTGAGGAAGAGGGGGTGGAGAGACTGTAAGAGCCAGGGAGGATGTGCATGATCTTATGGAAACAGAGTACTACAAGCTTCTGGCAACCTGCTCATATGATTCTATGGCATAGGTATCAGCATATACAAGTCCCATGCAAACTCAGGCAGACAGTAACCCAGCATAGAACTTGGAAAATCAACAGCAGACCCCAATCTTATCTAAAGAAATGTTGGCAACTGATTGCTGTAGGATGGAGAAGAGCTTATCTTCCTAAAACAAGGGACTCTAGATAGACTGACTAGTCTCAGAGGATGGACTTGCACTGGGGAACGGCTGGGGGCACTGACAGCACAGTGGGCAGTAACAGGGATGACAGAATATATGGGCTCCAGTGGGGGGGGGGTGCTAGGGGAGGATGCAAGTGGGGATGGGGGTATAAAGATGATTAAGATTGTTTGAGATGTTTTGTATGAAGTACACACAAAAAAATCAATAAATAAAATAAAAGTAATAAAAAATACAAGACAAACATCAATCAAAACAACCAATTCAGCTGTGCATGGTGGTACATGCCTTCAATCTCAGAGGCAGAGGCAAGAGGATCTCTGTGAGACTGGTCTGCATAGAGTTTCTGGCCAGTTGGGGCTACAGGGAAATTCTGTATAAAAAAACCCACCACCACCACCAAAAATCCAACCAATTCAAGCATATAAAGCTCCTTACTCCCAAGATGTAAGGTAAATTGCATGGAGGCTTTAATCATGTCAGGAGGCCTGGATGGCTAACCCATGGGAAGATGGCTGGCACCTGCTGTGACACAGAGACACAGCCAGGGCAGTACTAAAAGGGGAAATCTGAATCCTTCCAAGTGGCAGGATGGGCTTCTAAATCTCTTCTCAGAGTAAATTATGTTGTGGTTCCACTGTCTCCTTTTGGAAGCCAGGCTCTCTTAGGCAGCTGGACAACAATTTTTTTTAAATGACTTCTAAAAACCCTCTGAATATTGTTTTAGGACTAAGTTATAATTAAGTTAGGAAAAAGACTATGTATAGTAGCATTTGAGTGGTCTGGATAAGGTTCCAAAGACAAACCATTTCCCAGAGCAGAGGTGTGGGGGAATTTTGTCATGAGGCTGGAAAGGGCAGGATACCCAGGAGTGGCTGCCTGTGATTCTAGCAGGAGTTCAAGACTCAGTGCAGCCACTGATCTTGGAAGGTCATTTTGTCTACACTTCTATATCTTTCTCTGTGACAAAGGCCAGGAATGGAGCTAGAAGACCTTGTTCAGGTGGTTACTCTCCTTACAGTGACTTAATTCAGCATCCTGAAAACAGACGTGTGCCATTAAAGTCCTTTCTTAATTTCCTAACTCTTGAAAAAGGGTGCTGACTTTGATGGTGCAGACACTGCTCATGTTCTCACAGGTGTTTATTCCCTCCTGGACCATCTCTCAGGTGGCCTTTGCTGCAGGCTAAGCAGGAAGTAGGCAACTGCAGTCCCCTGAGTATGTGATTTCCAGCTTTCTCATCCTGGTTTTCTGTCTAGTCTTCATTTTCCTTCAGACTAGCCACCTCCTCACGTCCTGCTTATACACCAGAACCCATCTCAAGCCTCTGCTCCTCCAGGAAGTCTCCCTGCATCCCCCTCCTCCCTCAGCACTCTGTGCCTTCCTCTACCTCTGAGCACTGTGAGGTGAAGTGGCCCCTTGGTTAATTGTACACTTTCCTGTCTAAATTCCTTGAGGGTAAAAAGCATACATTTATTTTTGTAACACTAAATGATTCTTTGCTGAATGAATCAGTTATACTTAAAAATACAATCAAGTCACCATTTGCTCTAAGGTGATCATACTTATCTGGAGTCAAAAATAATGAAAATTAAAAACTAAAAAACAAAACAAAAAGGCAGGAGTGGCAGCTCATACCTTTAATCTCAGTACTCAGGAGGCAGAGGCAGGCTGATCTCTGACTAAGGCCAGTGTGGTCTACATTGCCAGCTGGAGCTACATAAAGAGGCCCTATATAGGGCTTCATAGCAAAATCCTATCTAAAAAAATAATTTCATTGCAGCAGTTAAGAGCACTGGCTGCTCTTACAGAGGACTCAGGTTCAATTCCCTACACCTACATGGTGGCTAACAACCATCTGTAACTCTGGTTCCAGGGGAATTCAACACCTTCTTCTGACATCTGAAGGCATTTCACAACACGGGTGCACTTATACACATGCAGGCAATACACTCATACATATAAAATAAAAAAGAAAAAAGAAAATTCACCTGTTGATGTTGATTTTCTCTCTCTGGTTTTTATTTCTCTCTCTGTCTCTGTCTCTCTCTCTCCCTTTCTCTCCCTCTCCCTCTGTCTGTCTCTCTGTCTCTCTGTCTCCCTCTGTGTGTGTGTATGTGCATGCATACATGCGTGCACAAGCGTGTAGTACACAAGGGGAGGTCAGGGCACAACCTCGAGCATGGCCTTTGCCTTGAGACAAGGCCTCTGTTGTTCGCTGCTGCATGCCCCACATGAGCTGCCCTAACAAGCTTCCCAGGATTCTTGTCTCTGTCTCCCATCTCACCACAAGAGTGCTAAGATTACAAACATGTGCTTCTGTGCCCAGCTTTACATGCATTCTGGAGATTTGAACTCAGGTCCTTATACTTACACAGCAAGTGTTTTACCTTCTAAGTCATCTCCCCAGCCCACATGCTGAAGTTTTAACACCCCTGAAATAGCCCAGTGGGTGATTACATTTGGAGACAAGGTCTTTAAAGAGGAAATTAAGGTAAAGTGAGGTCATCAAGATAGGCATTAATCTAATATGACCGACATGGTCATAGGATACAGATCTGTACAGGAGAAGGCAACCATCTAAAAAGGGAGGGGCCTCCTTTATCTAGCACTTTCTAGCATCTCAACTCTGAGGAAATAAGTATCTATTGTTTAAGACACTGGCACTCTATAATGGCAATCCTGGACAACACCCTATTACATGTATGACATTTTAGATAGAAAAGTAATATATTCAAATGGTGTGTGTGTAAGAACGCACATAGCTGCATCCTGCCAAGAAGCCAATCTGTCTGATCCTTGCTTGGCAGGCTGCACTGACATGATTTAGATGGTGCATTTCTCTTTGGAAGGCAGGGCCCCTTCCATCTGGCATCTCTGTGCACTAAAAATAAAAATCTTTAAATTGGATTGAAAAGGAAAATAATAAATAAAGAAATAATAAATAAATAAGGAAACCAACTCTAGCAGTCTTTCCAAGGCTTCCTCTGAGGAACCAGAGCCCTTGTATGGAAGTTCAAGGTCTGCATCCTTTGACGTTCTCTCCCCACAGCTTCTCTCTCCTACTCATGAGAACTACAACACAAGCATTCAAAGTGCACATGTAGGCACCCAACCACCATCCTATGCTCTCCAAGGACTTTAACCATGCCCTGCACACAGCAGCAACATGGACACAATTCACTGTCAAAGGAAGACTCCAGGTCTCCTGTCTCAGAAGTAGCCCTTCTAGTCATCAAACGGAAAAAGGGGCATTGTCACTTGGGATTCATATATTGGAATTCCATAAAATTCCTCTGCTTTGAGCCTCGGAGAGCTAGAGAGTCACCTACATGTCACCAGGCACCACCTATCCAGAGATAAGACCAGTACTCTCATGAATGAACCTCTTGAGAACAAAAGGACAGATGGGACAGTGGGGGACCAAGGGACAAAGTCACAAAGGCATAGACACCCAGTCACTAAAAGGAGGCACTGAAGGAGAGAAGAAATGTGAGACTGCACATCTGTCCCAAAAAGATGGATTATCTTAGGGCCAATTATTAGATTTTAGAAGTCATTTGATCAGTGAGACTTTTCATCTTGGATTCTATAGACACAAATGTCTACAATAGTTCAGATGCTTAATAAATACACATATATCTACAATAGTTAAGACATTTAAAATTAATACTTAAGCTATTATTTCCAGTTCAAGAAACTTGAAAATTTCCAAGCTAGTCAAAGACAAAGATGTACTTTTCTTTGGATTTAAAAACACAGTCATTCAGGAACCAAGAATTTGGAGCTAGACTGGTTCCAAGACCTGGTCTAGCCACTCATTAATGATTTGGGGCAAGTAACTCAGTTTCAGTTTCCTTATGTATACGATGTATTTCCCTGATAGGATTGTCCTGAAGTTGAAATATTTTACTAACTATACAGCACTTAGAATCCTGTACCTGACACACAGAAAACACTAATAGGTGTTAGCTCTAAAACTGGTGAAATGTTTTTCCATAACCACACAAACCCCCACATGGAGAAACATACCTTAACTTTGGAGTTTTCTATCAGATGCTGAGCCATGGATTTTATCAGCACATCAAAGAAAAACCAAGAGTACTAAAAGGAAAAAAAACAACCACCAAAATAAGAAAACCAACAAGTTATTAGGAAAAGAGGCAAACTCTCTTAGGCTATGTTAGCAACCAGAAGCGGGTATGAACCCTAAAACACAGCTGGACCCATGGGCAGAGTCTCATTAGACCAAAGAGGTGAGTGGCAGGTGGCTTCTGCTGGAATGTGTTAAAAAACAGAGAGATGCATCCTCTGGGAGACTGGACGCCTCCCCAGCAAGCAGCACTGCTAGAATATCCGTGTCATCTTTCCTCTGTGCTGACCTCTTGCTCAGTGGCACTGCCTTACAATCTCTAAATCAATGTCCTCCGCTGACTTGAATATAGTGACTTACACTCAAGAGGCAATGAGAATTTGAATGGGGTAATTATTATTATTATTTTATTCCTCCTCTTCTTTCTCCTCTTCTTTCTTCTTTTTTTCAGTCTTTTTCAGACAGGGTCTCTCTGTAGCCCCTGCTAGCTTGGAACTCACTATGTAGACCAGGCTGGCCTTGATCTCACAGAGATCCACCAGTCTCTGCCTCCTGAGGGCTGGGATTAGAGGCATGTACCATCATGCCTGGCTGAATAGGGTATTCTTTACAGCTCTTATCAGAAGACCCAATTAGCAGAGCTGGCCTTGGAGAACCAATTCTACTTACTTGTATTTAGGGGCATTGGTGGTAATTGTCTCCAAGAGGACATAAATAGGCTGAGTTGACCAGGCTATGGAGTTTGAATTTTCTTTTCTTTCTTTTAATTTTTTGTTGTTGTTGTTGTTCTTTAGATAGGGTTTTTTTGTTGTCTTGCTGGTCTTAAACTGGCTCTGGAGCTGAGGATGGCCTTGAAGTCTTGATACCCTGCCTCTTATCTCCTAAGTACTGGCATTACAGGCATGTGCTACCATACCCAGTTTTTCATTAATTGACTTTTGAAATTATTATTGATTAATTATTAAAAACAATATTGTTGAGGCAAATTCTATGTTGCCCAGCCTGCTCTCAAGCTTGTGAATTCAACTGATCCTCCTGACTCAGTTTCCTGAGTAGCTGAGACCACAGGCATGTTGCCCCATGCCTAGATCTCAATTTACTTTTAAACTGATATATAAAAAACATGAAAATTATACATATTAATGGAGCAACATATAATATTTTGGTACATATATATATATATAAAACATTTACATTAAGTTAAACACATCTATCTTAAACATCTTTCATCTCTTTATGATCAAAAACCTCCCAAATGCTTTCTTCTAGAAAACAAGAAAATATACACTATATAACTGCTTTCTGTAATCACTCTACTTCAAAGAACACCAGAACATCTTGCTCTTAAGTAACTCTTAGTACCCGTTGATCAACCCTTCCCAAACTTGCCCCATTATTCATCAGTTTTTCTGTTTGTTTGTTTGTTTGTTTGGACAGGGTCTCCCTAGTCCTAGTTCACCTGGAAGTCACTATGTGGACCAGGCTGGCAGCAATCTCACAGAGATCTGCCTGCCTCTGCATCCCAAGGACTGGGATTAAAGGCATGTGCCACCATGCTTGGTGTTGCCCATCAGTTTTTTAAAAAATATTTTATTGGTTATTTTTATTTTATGTGTATGAGTGTATTGTTTGCATGTATGTAAGTGCACCCATGTTGTGCAATGCCTGTGGAGGTCAAAAGAGGATGCCAGATCCCCTGGAACTGGAGTTATGGATGGCCGTTAGCCACCATGTGGATGCTGAGAACTGAACCTGGGTCTTCTGCAAGAGTAGTCAGTGCTCTTAACCACTGACCCACCTCTCCAGTCCCTGCCTATCAGTTTTAATGCTGCAGAGCTAGGCTAGCTGACGTACCTTCAGTAGTTTGTTGCTGGTAAGGAAATCAGCAGAAGGCTTGAGAATGGTGGTCATAGATTTGGTCAATTCTTCATGCACAGTCTTATATTCAGAAGCAACATATGGCTCGGCCTTATAGGCGAACTTTGGAAAAAAGAGACAAGAGACTGACTACACAGGTTCTCCAAGTTGGGCTGAAAGCTTAAGAGGCGCCTAAGAACAGAGATCAGGGACTGAGGTACAATTTCATGGGTGGGAGAAGAAGGCATGGAAACGAAGGTGGGAAGGGTGATTGTCATGTGACAGAAACTGAGGGAGCCCAGGATGTCTTCAGGGAACCCATCAAAACACACCAATCATCTGAGTCAGATCAGAGCTCCTTTAGCCACAATGAGAACTTGAGGCCATGTTTCACAGGACACTGGTAACTGATGTCCTAGAGAGTCCAATTTTAGTTTCTAAACTACTACAAAGCTGTAATTCACAAGGGGATCCTAGATCAAATAGGACATGCAGCTTTGTAGAATGGTGGCTATACTATGTTTATCTAACATTGCAAATAAAGAACCTGTTGCTGTTTATCCCTATGGCTTCTCCTACTGTTCCACACAGCCTTATCTGATTGCAGCCAGAGCTAACCTTCCTGTCTTAAAGGCAGCACTGCTGCTGGGAATTTGAGGTGGATTAAAAAAAAAAGAAGAAGAAGATTGCTAACTAAAAAAGAAGATTGTGGCCTAGCCAGGAGCACTGAAAAATTCTTAAAACTTCCCTGCCATACTTAAAGGACAAATTAAATAAAGGAGTGGCCATGGGTCTTCTGCCTCCCCCATATTCAGGTACAAATCTTGGTGACAGGGACAGAAGAGTAAGCAAAGATATTAAAATCCAAGTGGATTCCTAAATAACTTGTCAAAAATAAATCCTTAGAAGGAAATTGGAGAGCCACAGATGTAAGTGATTGTAGCAGTCTTATTTATTTTACATACCTTAACATATGACCTCAAGTGGCTCTCCAATCCTTCCTCATGGCACTGGGCAACCACATGAATAATGACCCTACACACCACAGGAATGAATAAAGCAATGAATAGTAATGTGAAAATGGAAACAATTCATTATTATCACAGCAGCAGTAGAACAGTGATGATGCTACCGGCACTTCGCAAACAAGAAGACGAGAGATTGGATGGGTCCCCATATATGGGATTAAGAGACATTTCTTCAGTCTAACGTTCAGCACATACTGGCATCCCAGATAGGCATGGCTGTGCTCCAGATGTGGACAGACTGGAGGGGAAGAAGAGTGTCCATCCATCTACCACCTCCCTTACCGGGTCACATTGACTGCAACTTCTTCCTGGGTAGCTCTGGTGAGGACTCGGAACAGTTGGTTTAGGATGGTGGGCAGGAAGGCGATCATCACGTGGCCTTCCATTGCATGCAGACTCTACATATGGGGAATGGTGAAGTACAGGTTAGCATTTCAATACTTTATTTTTTAATTATTTTAGGATGAGGTCTTGCTATGTCACCCAGGTTAAGCGGATTGTCTGGGATCCAGAGACCCTCCCAACTCAGCCTCCCAAGTGCCTGGGATTATAGGCCTATGCCACCATACCCTACTCTGTTATCTTTTAAAATGTATAATAACCCAAAGTAATTTCCACTTTGTTTCAAATAAAGATAGAAGAACTTCTTCTAAAATAAAGGGAAAGCTGAGAACATGTAGGATGGACTTCAAAGATGCCCGTGTCCTAATCCTCAGGATCTGTGAAGGTGCTCCATGGTGTGGGGGAATGAAGACTGATAGCTAGTTGGCCTTGGGCCAGGGAACATGCAGTGGGCCAATGTAATTACAAAGGTCCTTAAAAGTGGAGGGAGAGGCAGAAGAGGAAATCAGGAGGTGCTGTAACCAAGACTGAATGGTCAGCGATGCCAGGTGTTGTCAGTGAAATGGAGGCGGGGCCAAGAGTCATCATATACATATAAAGCATGTTTTTCTTTTTTGAAAAAATTATTTTATTTATTATTTTTATTTTATGTGTATGAGTGTATTGCCAGCATGTGAGTACACCCGTGTTATGCAATGCCTCGGAGGTCAGAAGAGGGCTTCGGATTCCTCTGGAACTGGAGTTAAGGACGGTTTGTAGCCACCATGTGGGTGCTGGGAATCGAACCTGGGTCCTCTGCAAGAGCAGTCAGTACTCTTGACTGCTGCTGAGCCATCTCTCCAGCCCCATAAAGCATGTTTTTCTTAAGATGCACATTCTTTTCTCTTGCTTAGACCAAATATAATTCTCTACTCCATTCCTCATATTTTTAAAAAATATTTTATTTGTTATTTTTATTTTATGTGTATGAATGTATAGCCTGCATGTATGTGGGTGCACCCGTGTCATGCAATGCCACGGAGGTCAGAAGAGGGCTTCAGATTCCCCTAGAACTAGAGTTAAGGACGGTTCTTAGCCACCACGTGGGTGCTGGGAATTGAACCCGGGTCCTCTGCAAGAGCAGTCAATGCTCTTAACCGCTAAGCCATCTCTCCAGCCCACCATTCCTCATATTTTTAAATTTTGTCCTAGCCTACAATTCATTTAGCCACTCTTTCTTTTCAAAGTCCTGTCCCACAATCAAGTTCTAGGGGACTTCTATATAAACTCTAATCTGCTCTCTCTGCATGCTGGCTCTAAGAGCACACTTAATTTTTACAGAAAACTGGCTCAGGCTAGACATTTTATCTTTATCTACCCAGTACTCAGCTGCCAAGTTTATATCACCTCCTATAATGAACTAGAAGTTCTTTAAGGGTGAGGACTATTATGATTTGAGTGCATCCTTCAAAAAGTATGTATGGAAAGTCAATCCTCAATGCAATAGCATTAAGAGGTGAAGTCTAAGGAGAGGGGATCAGGCTATGAGGGCTTGGCTTTCATGAACGGATTAATATGACTGCTGGATCCTTATGGTAGGCTCCTTATAAAAGAGTGAGTGTGGTTCCCTTGTCCTCCTCCTCCCCTGTATCAAAACATTCTGGCCTTGATCTTGGGTTTCCCAGCTCTCAGAGTTGTGAGAATATAAAGTTCTATTCTTTAGAAATCACCTGGTTTCAGGTATTCTATTACAGCAATACAAAACAGACTAAGACAAGACTGCTTCTTTTGTGCTCAGTACCTGGTAAGAGCTCAACAGAAGTCTGTGTCAAGTAAGTACAAGAGACTGTTTTCAAGGGAGGATACAGGGGATTAACACAAAGAGAGGAACAGTGTTATTTTCTAAGTCCACCTTTTAACACCATCTAAAAACCACACAAAAACAGTGATATGATGACATCCAGGACAGAGTATCCTTAGAGAAATTCCAAGGGGTAGGAGTAACATTCAACATCAAGCAGAAAACCCAACCTACTACAAACTCATTAAAGAGGGCTACTAAAAAAGCCACCTGGTACCTTAAGGTATTTTACAAGCTCATTTCCTAAGGCTTGGGCTCCAGACTCAGTTTTCTGACAGTACTGGAAAAAATTATGTAAATGCTGATCCTAGATGGGGGAGAAGAAGAAAGTTTATTAGTACACATTCTAGAAAGAGAGCATCTGCTTCATGTAGCAAGCACGAATGATTTTTGCAAACATTTATTCGGTTTTGTATGTGAATGCATGTGTGTCACATGTGCACATGTGCTGATGAACATGCCAGTTTTATGCGCAGAGACTTGAAGAGGATACTTTGTATCTTCCTCTAGCACTCTGCCCATTCGTTTGAGGCAGGGTCTCTGCCCGAACTTGGCTAGGCTGCAAGTCATCAAGACCAAGTGAGCCCCTGCCTCCGCCTTCCTCACAGCTGAGGTATAGGAATGTGTGAGATGCCTGGCTTGTTTCATGTGGGTTTCTGGGATCCAAACTCTAGCCCCATAGTTGCACAGCAAGTGCTCTTAACCACTGAGCCATCTCACCAGCCCCATGAATGGTTTTTAAGATTACAAAATTGATCACATACAAATAACATCAAAAGGGCTCTCTAACAGAAGAAAACTGAAAAGATTTCACTTAGACTTATAAATGATTTAAATCTCATTGATACTACCATACATGAGCTCCTTCTATGTACTTTCTTCAAATACATCCATATGACATTAGGATCCTGTTTTGTACATAAAGGAAGTACAAACTCAGTCACAGAGCAATCACTCTAACTGTGATGTCGACACATACCTGAGTATACACTGTGGAAACCAGATGAGTAGAAATTTTCAACAGTGGCTTGCCTCCTTCCACCCATTTAATTTCTGGACCATAATGCTAAAAAAAATGCAGAGGAGGAAAAAAAATCCCAATAGATTAGCAATCCCAGCTTCCACATCATCAATGAGGGTACTGGTGGCAGACTGAAAGCTTGAAAACCTCTGATGGCTAGATAGTTATGTCTGCCACAGCAAGAATGCAGCAGATACTGTTATCTGCCCACTTTCTTCCCCTATGCTCACTGCTCTTCTTACTGGGCTGGTATCTGTTCTGTTGAGTTTGAGCTATGTGAGCTACTGTACACTTAATAGGAAGTGAATCCTATTTCAGCAGTCTCTTAATCAGACCTGAGTTCAGGATACTCAGAGAGAAGGTGAAAGGCATCAAATAAAAGTAAGGAGGTTTTACATACTCCCAGCACCAGCCAGAGGTGGATCCTCTGTGCTTATTTTGAAATCAGTAATATTTTTTGGTCATGTTCAAACTAGGAATTAGGGGATAGAGAAATGGCTCAGTGGTTAAGAACATTTGCTGTTCTTACAAAGGACCTAGGTTCAATTCCAGCACCCATATGGCAGCTAACAATTGTCCATAACTCCAATTCCAGGGGATCTGACACCCTCTTCTGGCCTCTGTGGGCAATGCATGCATGTGGTGCACTTACATACATGTAGGCAAAATACTCATACACAGAAAAATAATAAAATATTTTAACAAACTAGGAATTATAACTCAACACTGTACAATTTGCCTTTCTTTTGGAGTACATTTAACTATTTGTATATAATTTAGAGCCCCAATTGCCATTATTTAAGCATAGAGAAACAAAGAATAGATTTATCTTAGCATGTTGTAAAACAAACTTAAAATGTAACATGGTTAAAAAGATACAATGCTAACAAACTCTCTAGAAAAATCTAAGGAAAAAAGTTTTCTTCACTCAGAAAGGTTCAAAATGAACAACCATGTGGGCAAGAGCTTTGATTTCCATGTCTACATCAAACTGGATGGCAATTCTTGAGAACCCATCTTTACTTGAGCACGACTGCTTCACAGAAAGACTCATGCCATGTCCAGTATCTCCAAGTTTATTTCCCTGTTGATGTACTGCTAGTCCAGGGCTTATAAAATGCCTGAACTATAATTTTGACATTATGATAAGTGTTATCAGAAGTGGCTTCTAATTACCTACATTTACCTAAAAATGAATAAAGAAAACCAAACTGTTAGGACTGGCAGAATTATCCTGTGCTTTGTGCGTGCGTGTGTGTGTGTGTGTGTGTGTGTGTGTGTGTGTGTGTGTGTGTGTGTGTTTGTGTGCTTTTTGTTTTGTTTTTACTATTGTTTGAGTGGTTCTTTAATGTTTTCTGAATGAATTGGGATAAACCAAACCAATCTAAGATCCTATACCCTGCCCATGCTGAGCTCCTGGTAGCCAAGGTAGCCAGATGGAAGATTTGCTGAGACAGGGATATGCTGTTCATTAGTCACCACCCGTCCATCTTTTAGGAGAGGAAGCCAGGAATATCCAACTGTTTAAAACAAAGAACAAAAATCTATTGTGAGTTTAGAAAACTTCAGAAAGAAAGACATTGTAAAATTGGCTTATTAAAACTGTTAATACCAATCAAAATAAGTGATGTAAAAAACATCTTAAAGGGTTCTATAGAACATGTCCTCCAATATACCTTGGTCTCTTTGTTGTTAGCATGCTAACAATTACATATGCAACCCAGGCACACTATTTTCATGCTGACTACAAACTTCATTGAGTTTTTTATAAAAGGATGAAGGCTAAGAATCAAAATACAATTTTAAAAATATACTGTACAAATGATAAACAAAAAAATCAAAGGGTCAATGAAGTCTCCAACCTTGAGTTTCCACAACGTCCCTCTTCTTCGTGCCTCCTTTACTTGAGTTATCACAGCTGACATGGAAGAAGGTAAACAACAAATGATGCTTTTCGTGTAGCTGGGTGGGCAATTCTATTTTAATCTGCAAGGAAGAACAAAGCGGCAATCTTTTATACATTCTAAAACAGCAAAAAATTCCCAGTGGAAGCAGGTCTGTGCCACCCAATTCACAAATGGATATTTATTTTCCAAACTCTAATCCAGATTTGCAGTTAAACATGCCTGAGCTGTTAACTGTGCCAGCAAGAAATGGATTCTGCACTGGCTGACTGGTCGATCGCTATTTCAGATCTACACAAATTGGAAAACAGAAACAATGATAAACTCAGCACAGTAGTGGCAAATGAAAACCCAACATCAGACATTTCAAAGTAGGATTATATAGCAGTTGATCTTAAACAACAGGAGTTCAACTGTGTGGGTCCACTTATATGGAGGCTTTTGTCTATCTTTGTTTTTCAGTGCTGGGGATTTAATTTAATATCTCACATGTGTTAAGAACACACTCTACCTCTGACCCACATTGCAGTCCCATGCAGAACTTGGAGGTTTTTTGGGGGAAGGAGAATTTGTAACCATTTGAAAAAAGTACATAGACAAACCACATGGTACATGGGTACATAAAATATATACAGAAAACAGTGTTTTCTGGGGGGTATGTATGTGATACATGGTATTTGTGTGGTATGTACACACCCATGAGAAAGGAGGTCAGAGGTTATCAGGTGTCCTAGTCTGGCACCCCTCCCCCCCATTCCCTTGAGACAGGGTCTCTCGCTGAATCTGGAGCTAAGCTGGAAGTCAACAAGAGCCAGTGATCCTTTTGTCTCCACCCTGACCCCCCAGTTCTGGGGTCACGGATGCAAGCATGATCAGGCTCAACTTTTTACATTGGTGCTGGGGACTTGAATTTGGGCCTTCATGCTTGTGTCACAATCCCTCTCACTCACTCGGCAATCTCCTCAGCCCCAAATTTTATCATTTGCTACCATAAAACATGTATAACCTACTATTAGAAGATAAAATTTATTGAAATGTATACATACAAATAGATGGCGACATTCACAATCCAAAGAAATAGAAACAAAATAAGAGTGGAATGGTAGCTTCAACTGCATAGACTAACTGTAGAACATACTAGAAGAAATTTCAGAGCCACTTCCTACTGCTACTGCAGTGAACTCCAATGTTGCATTATCAGCTTAAAATGCTGGTTGGTGCTCATGGTCTCTGAGCAATTTCTCTCTCCAATAAACTGAATACGGCAATAGAAAGTGATCGCTATTAGCTCTTCTATATTTTTCACCATATGTAAAATATAAACATATAAAAAGTGTCAACTGGGTGCTTGTGGGATTGATGAGGTTTGCAGTCACCATAATGCTATTAGTAGGTAACTTCTGTAGCAATCAAAAGTTATATATGGACTTTGAAGTACCAGAAAAGCATGCCACCCCCAGGCTCCTGAGTTGCTCAAGGGTCAACTGGACATTATAATTCCATAGAAGAAAACCCAACAATAAAAGGGGAGAGTCTGAGGCCCAACAGTAACTATGTTCAAGTGTACAAGGAGATATGCGAAAGTGTCAACTACGGTAGTAAGAGCACAACTATAATTTTTCCATTCCTTTATTTATTTGTAACATATTTATAGTTTTACTAATAAAGATGCTACTTTAATAGTTAGAAAAGTATGTAAAATAAACACCGATCTTACTGCTGTCATTTCAGGGAGGTATACAGCTTCTCTTCAGTTTTGCTGTTCTAGGCAAATAACTTGAAGTTTCCCTTAAGACTGTTCAAATTGAATTTTCCCTTTAAAACATCGCTTACCTCATCATAAAATTCTGGGTTTTGTTGATGGTGTAAAACCGCAGCCAAGGCGCTTCTTGTGAACACTGGGCCACCAGGTCTGCCGTAAATGCACTAAAATAAGAATTAGCAAAGGCAAACACCAGGCTTCAGTGGATGGAGTAAGAAATTCAACTCAAATGTGTTGTAAAGAAAGTGGCGCTCCTCCAGCATAAACTCAACTATCTCAGACAGATTGCTTCTGCCTTTGAGACCTCAGGCCTGCAAGCCCCTGGATTTGTGGTCCCAGGACCTGCCAGAGTATCTCTAGGCCTGTTGGCCTCTTTTTACTCCAGCTTGCTCACTCTACATACCCACACTTCCACACCTTTGTTCACACAATCCCTCTGTTCAAATGCTCTATGCTTTTGCATAGTTTAAGAAACTGTTAACTCTTTCCTCTCAGCATTTTTCTATGTGAATGATTCATTTTTGTCTAAGAAAAAAATCAATCAATCAATCAATCAATCACTCACTCACTCAATCAATCAATCAATCCTATTTCAATACCTTCCACTCTAGGCAGCTGTTTCTCCATATCTATGTTACTCACTAGACTATAACTTTCCTTTCTCCTCTCCTTCTCCCTCTCTCTCTTCCCTCTTCTGCTCCCTTCCTTATAGACAGGGGTCTCATGTAGCCCAGACTGGCCTGGAACTCCCTATGCAGCTGAGAAAACCTTGAACTTCTGATCCTCTTGCTGGGATTATAGCTGTGCTCCACCATTCCCAGTTTTTATGTGCTGTTGGGGATGAAATCCAGAGCTCCTGTATGCTAGGCAGGCACTCTACCATCCCCAGCCTAAACTGTACATTTCTCGAGGGTGAATTATCTTCCTCTTTTGCATGTTTGTCTCTTTTTCCTCTTGGAAAGCCATTTTAACATAGTAAGAATTTGGGCTCTGGAGGCAGGATTGCCTGGACTCAAAACTCAGTACTACTAATGTATAGCATTGAACAATTTATTTAAATTCTGTGCATTGATCTTCTTGCTAAAAATTATGAATCTTAATTAGTGCCTAACTCAAAAGTCTGTTCTGAGAATTAAAAGTGTTAAGTATGCATACCACAGTTCCTGCAGCATGCATAGCATTCGATGAATGTGGCCTACAACAGACTGCTAACATTACCGCTACTCCACAATACTGATCTAATAAAGATGATCTGTTGTTGACTTTTTATTTCCACCACTGATGTTATTCACATCACAATTCTTAACACCTGGACAACGCCTGCTTAACATTTAATAAATGATTACTGAATTATACATACATAAGAAATTTCATCCCTAAAGAGAATTAACAAAACACAGACTCCATTAGAAGCAAGAACTTAAGTCCTACACATTATACAACATTTAGCATAGGTTGTTATGTAGTATGACATCATACAGTTTTTTGGTCTGTGTTACTGAAAATGTGCTAGTTACTTCAGTTGTACAACATGATGCAAATATACTTTAAAATGGAAGTCAGAATATGTAGGTAAATATGTATTAAAAAAACAAACCTTCAGGGGCTGAGAATCTTCCTCATCAGAATCTCTGAACTCAATGCAAATAGCAATATTTCTGGCCTATAGCAATATTTGAGAGAAAAAGATGTAAGAAAAAAAAAGCAACAGAACCCAGAACATATCCATATTTCTAAAACATGGAGCGCTGTCCTAAAGGAGAGTTTGATGTAAAGAATGAAACCCCAATCTCCGCGCTCACCTTGGCAAAAGACTTCTGACTGTCATATTTCAAGCACTTTGGGTAAACATAAAGGTGATTGTTGTAGACAGTATAAGGCTGGGTATGTTTGGGGATGCAGGGCACAAATTCCTCCACTTCAAATGTGATTGGAGCTTTAGAGCAGGTTTCAAATTGCTTCATGGGAATGTATGATGAATTCACATAATCTGAAAAGATATTCAAAACAATACAGACTGGAGTGAAAGCCAACTCAGCCCAAATCTTGGCTGTTTGTTATACAGAACTTAATACTCACTAGGGAACTCCGAGGAAACATTATCAATCGTAATGTCCAGATTACCTAAAATCACTGGGAGTTTAGCCATCTTTTCAGGTCTACAAACAAAAGAAGAGAAAATCAAACCTTATAGGTTAGGTTAAGTGTGAATTCTAAGTTCTATAGCGGCATTCACAAGAGAAGGACGTGGAAATAACACAACTACAAAAGCAAACTTCAGCTTTCTAGAAGCCACAAGAAAAAAATAGTAAAAAAAACAGGTAAAATATTACATTTTACTTAGCCTAACAAACTTACAATATTATCAATTTGGTATATAATCAATACAATAATGTGCAAACTAAGTTTTCACAACTGGGTGGGTATTTTACACTGAGCACAACAGTTCAGACTTTCCATATTTCAACTGTTCGATAAGCCAAGCATGGCTAGTAACTACAGAGGTTGAGATAAAGAATACCAGCAATATAATTACAGTGAAAGAATCCCCACAGGGCTTTAGCCTCACCATAAATACATGGCTTATTTAGAACCGCTGACATTTAGTAAAACTGGCCTGTACTTGGTCTGACTTGATTGATCTACTAGAGAAATCTTCTAACGTTCCTGCTAAGTACTGCTACTGGTACCAAGGGAGCTTGCAATATGGCCATTTTGACACTAGACCTCACTTCCTCATGACAATAAAATTCCACTGTCTGAAGGTCTGTTCATCAAGAGGGCAGGCTATGTTCCTCTTTTGACCACCTACAGCCACCACATATTCCTGAGTCCTCTATTCTCAGAACTTCTGGACCTTCCTTCAATACCACTTCCCCCACAGAAGGAATGGCACAGATCGGGCATGGCACGGGCTGACTGGCTGTTGTAAGGCTGCTCTCTGGTTTGGTCAGTCACTCATCTACTAACGCAGCCCCAATGTCATTGCTTTTGGAAGCCACACCACCACATTGATCCATATTAAGTTTACAATGACCTGAAATTCCTAGATCTTTTCTTACATGCTCAACTGTCACACTACATCTCTCTGTCCTATATTTATGCAATTATTCTTTTGAGCCTCAAATTAGGACTTGATTTTTGTCCTAATAAAATTTCATATTTTTCACTTTGAGCCATTTATAGTTGACCAAAATCATTCTAAATCTAAGTTCTAATATATAATGTCTTTGATATTCCTAAGAGCTTTATGTCACAAAGACATTTAATCAGTGTATTATATTTTTATAAACATTATTGATGAAAATACTATATTGTACAGAATATTGCCAAGAGCAGGTTCCTCGGGTCTCCAGAGACCCATTTCCACATGGGCACTAGCCCATTCCTCATCCTTCCTGGCACCTAGTTACTCCAGCAATTGAACAGCTGCCTGCTCCCATGCACAGCACATGCCTGGTTTGTTTATAGGATCTCATATGTTCATATGGCAAGTACATTCTGCAAAGGGCTTTCCATGCCTCTATGACACCAGCTTCGCAACCCAATTTAAAAGAGAAGAAACGTGGTTAGGGTTAACTACTTCAACAGGACGCTGTCACATGGGTCCTCATAAGCCACCGGTTCAATAATTTCTTTCATAGCATTGCCAAGGAGCATCAAAGCTTAGTGGTCAACAGATTCAGTTTTTGGTTGTGTTCCCAATTTCATGAAGTTTCCACTTCCTGGTTTTAAAATTCGTTTGGCACTACTGTACGTATCAAACCATGCTGTACATAACTTCTCAGTCTATCTTAGAAAATTGCACATCTGAACTAGGACTTCACTAAAAACTCTAAATTCTTTACTTCCCTATAATCAGAGACTATGCCAAGTAGCTCCATCTTGGCTTGGTTCACCCCCAGCTCTGAGCTGCACAATCTCTTTCTCCCAGGATCCCTCATTTTTACTTTCCTTCAGTTGCACTTGAGTGTAACTGAGCAGTTCACTGAAATTCTGTGAGATGAAATGGTCAGGAAGGGGTGTCAGTGATTTCTCACACATTCTGCCTTCAGTTGAATAGATTTCTGGCAAAGAGATCTCTAACTACAGCCCATCATCACAACCTGCATTGTGCCTCTGCCTATTGCATGAGATATTTCTCGTGCCCAAGGTCCTCCTCTTCCAACATCAGAGGAGGGTCGATAGTGCTCCTGGGGTGGTCACTTTCTGCGAGATTCCATTGCATCTCCTCCACTGTAGACTCCTGCAGAAATACCCTCCACACTGAACTCTTTAGGGGAATCAACCTCCAGATGCATGAATGTGAAACACATAAATTCTCTAGACATATACTGCCTTGCTTTAGCTCTTCATATGCACAGTTTAACACTATATTGTACTATACAGCATTGAATTTACCAAAAGCTATAGAGTTCTATTTATTTTCTTCTCTGAGTTAGAAATAATGTTTATGCCAGGTGTGGTGGTGCACGCCTTTAATCCCAGCACTTGGGAGGCAGAGGCAGGCGGATCTCTGTGAGTTCAAGGCCAGCCTGGTCTACATATTGAGTTCTAGGCCAGCTGGGGCTACAAGGAGACCCTGTCTCAAAAAGACCAAAATATAAAGTAAAATAAAATAAAAAACACTGTTGACTACAAATAATACTTTCAAATCTAATTATTCAAAAGCATTGTGTTTCATCTCCTTATAGTTATTTCCACCTATGACTGAATAGTATCCTTATTGGTTTTTAATTCACTCTAACATCATTCACAAGTTTGTTTGAGTGGTAGACCTTTAAGCAAAAAAAATTTAATTCAACAATCATCACTAAAAATCTTTCTACAATGTATTATGGATGTCTGTCCCTTTCTATTCTCACTCCTTTTTTTTTAAAAAAAAAGGATTATGTGTGTGTGTGTCTGTCTGTCTGTCTGTGTGTGTGTGTGTGTGTGTGTGTGCATATATCCACACAGGCCAGAAAGTAGACATTAGATCCATGGAGCCAAGGTTATAGGTGGTATGGGTGCTGGGGTTACATGGAGATCTGGCCTCAACCCCACTCAAATAAAAAAGAAATTAAATTAAAAACTAAAAACGGAGCATGAGAGGGTAGGTCCTGACCTCCAGCTGTGTAGTGGCTCTGATCTCAACAGACCACCAGAGTATGCCAAGTTCTGGCCTCTGAGAATGCAGGGGGCTGCCTGGGAGCCCCAGGATCCTGCCTCCATGTGGTGGTGAGCTTCCTCTAATTGTGTCATCCCCTACCTGGGATTTTATGAGGCCCCTCCCAAGACTCCAGGGCAGATCTGGCTTTGGTAGGCTAAGGCTGAGATCCTAGCAGACAGCCTGAGAGGATGGGTTCAGACCTCCATCCGTGTAGCGGCTTTGATCTCAGCAGACTGCCAGAGTGCCAAGTTCTGGCCTGCTCTGGCCTCCCTCTGGCAGTGGGCCTGAGAACTCAGGGGGCTGCCTGAGAGCCGCTGATCCTGCCTCCAAGTGGTGGTGAGCTTCCCCTAATTGTGCCATATCCATCTCCCTACCTGGGATTTTGTGAGGCCCCTCTCAAGGCCCCAGGGCAGATCTGGCTTGGTAGGCTAAGGGCTGAGATCCTGGCAGACAGCCTGAGAGGGTCGGTTTCAATCTCCATTGCTATAGCAGCTCTGATCTCAGCAGACTGCCAGGGAGTGCTGAGTTCTGGCCTCCCTCTGGCCTCCTTCTGGCCTCCCTCTGGCAAAGGGGCTGAGAATGCAGGGGACTGCCTGAGAGCCCCTGGATCCTGCCTCCACATGATGAAGGAAGCCTGAGTGTACCTCACTGGAACCTGCATTGGGCTTCTGTGGGTACTCCTGAATAGCTGATCTGAAGCCATGAGTTCCCTCCAAATTAAACCCAAGAGAACCTGACACTGTACAAAACCAGCTTTACATAACCAATAAAGAAAGGATCTAGGGAACCCGATAATACAAACCAAAGCATACTTCAACTTAATTCTCATATCAGAATCATAAACAACAAAAGAAATTCATATGCTAAAATCAAAACAAAAGAATAATAAAACGGAAAGCCAAAACACTATGTCCCCACCAAACTACACCAATCCTATAGAAGAGTTCTATAAGAAGAACACCCTAGAGATAACCCAGGACACAGAATTTAAAAGAACAATCATAAACAAGATCAAGGAATTCAATGAATTTAAGAACACACAAACAAATCAAAGAGCTAAAAGAAGACAGGGGTAAACTTCTGAATGAATTCACAAAAGAGATAGAAACATTGAAAAAAACTCAGGCAGAAATGAAGAAGGAAGTGTAAAACTCAATAAGCCAACTTGAAACAACAGGGAAAAGCCTCACTGACAGAATGAATGAAATGAAAAACAGAGTATTAACACTGGAGGATAAAGTTTAAGAATTGGACCACTGAAGCAAAGATTATGGAAAATTAAAAAAAACACACACAGAAACGGAATATTCAAGAGATGTGGGAAACCATGAAAAGACCAAATCTACACATCATAGCAATAGAGGAAGGAGAAGAATTTCAGGTTAACGGCATTGACCAAATCTTAAACAGGACTGTAGAAGAGAATTTCCTGAAATTAAGGAAAGACATCCCCATACAAATACAGGAAACACATAGAATGCCAAATAGACAGGATCAGAAAAGAAATTCCCATGACATATCATAGTAAAAACACTAAATGTGCAGAACAAAGAGAGAATACTGAAAGTAGAAAAAGAAAAACAACAAGTCACATACAAAGGAAAACCCATCAGAATTACAGCTGACTTATCAATGCAAACTATGAAAGCCAGAAGATCCTGGACCAAGGTATTTCCAGTTCTAAATGACCATAGATGCCAGCCCAGAATACTATACCCAGCAAAAATGTCTATTATAGTTGAGGGGGAAAGAAGATTCTTCCATAACATGAATAACCTGAAAGAATACATGTCCACAAAACCAGCCCTTCAAAGAATACTTGAAGCAATACAGAGAACAGAGAGAGAAACAACTATACCCCAAGAGCAACAAAAGAAAATAAATAAAGGTATAATCTAGGAGACACAAAATTAGATAGAGAACATAAACAGCAATCAAAATGATGGCAACCAATACACATCTTTCAATAACAACCTTAAATATCAATGGCTAAGTGAATGGATTAAG